TCAGCATAAAAGAACTTGTAAGAATAGAAAAAATAAAAATAACACTAAGCCACAAATACAACCCAAGAAGCGTTCTGTTATGCTGTACTATTTAGAGAAAGCACTGTCTCTTAGTCAACGGTTGTGCAAGGAGGTGACTTGACCGAGATCACGCTCATTTCGCTTTTTAATTGAATAAATATATTTAATTAATTATTCTAATTAAGAGAACCTACTTTATAGAGGCTGGGTGTGCCCCATGGGGCTCTACATACCCAGGGTCGCCCCAAATTGAATAGCTGTAACTTCGTTAATAGTTGTCCGATGTGAACGATTTTTATATAGTTTTTTAGGGAATTTCACCACCTTTAAAAAAAAAAGAGGCTACATGTTGGATAAATCGTGGCACAGACAGACAGACAGACCAATGATTAAAAATTTGTTTTTTGGACTCAGAGAGCTCTGAAACGTATAGAACCAACAGTAATACATTCTTTACCTAGTATAGGTAGGAAAGTAAAAATGAGAAAAATTTGTGTCCAAAACCAAATTATAATGAGTTTTTTCAAAGATATAGATTAAAATATCTCAGAAACAGATTTTTAGTTTTTTGTGGAGAGTGAATTATATCCGTCAGATCTCCGATGTATAATGCTCAAGTAAACTCGGCTGGAGTCTACTAATTGAAATGTTTTTGCATATTGATTAAAATACCTCAGAAACTAAAAATCGGACCTGCATGCGGTAAGTGAGGGAAGTTTTCGGCATTTCATCTTCTGTAAAATGGGTTATTATTCAAAATTGTATCATATCGCGCCGTGTTAAAAAGGCAAACAGGAAAAAATAGTGTCAAAAACCAAATGATAAAGAGTTTTATCGAAGATATTAATAAGCGAGGGGAATGTTGCAACCTCTTTTTAATGAGCTATTATCTATAATTTATATTTCATATTATTAATCTCACTCTGTTGATATTTTACTTGTATCTTGCGGTCTAAAGCAAACACCTTAGCTTCTTACCCTATTAGCCTCTCACGCATGGCGTCATGTTAAGATAAAATTTCTAATAATATTTGTTTTTGTCAAATAAAATTTTATATTCATCGTACTAAACTGCATATAACTCTCAAAATTCATTAACTAACAATTCACGAATTTGCTATTATTTAGAGATTTGCTATTATTTAGAGAACAAAGACAAATACCCTTCGCCATTAGCATTGAACAAGCGAGCGTGCGAAGAGCCGCCCGTAATGGATATAGCCATCAGGGGGAACAAATGGAAGTACAGAGCTAGTCCAGGATTGATTGAGAGAAGGCCGGGTCATAGCGAGCGAGCACAGTTCCATTTCCGAATGTCCTTCCGTCTATTGATGTACATATATCATAAAGTATTATGCTACAAATATATATATATATATATATATATATATATATATATAGAGAGAGAGAGATACATATTAATAAATTAGTCCATGGTATAGAACCCTTTTTATCAAATTATTAACATTGCCCTGAAATTTATCTCGGAACGTAATAGAAAATTTCAATTGGTAACTTAAAATTCAGATTTAGCATTCCAAAAAACGGAGATAAATCTGAAATTGAAATTTGAATTTTTCGCACATCCAACTTCCCTTCGACTGGACTATATCGATGATTTTGACGTCGTCAGTTTTCAAAATACAACCGAGTACATCGTCAATCGAGGTGAATTATATTTTAGTGAAACATTCCTTACACCATATAAAAATTTCAGCAGTCAATTACTGCATTAAATAAAACATCAAATTTCACGAATTTAAATTTTCGTATATAAAGCAACAGCTTTTCATCGACAGAACGAAGTTGTGATCTCAGATGAGGTCATCTAAACTTAGAAATAATTACTATAAAACTATAAGTCCTTCAGTTAAATGAAACAGTGCGTACCTCCTGGTCTCAATGGAATTCAGCTTTGTGATCGCGTCTTTTTTATTAAAATATAAATTCTCAAACATTCATCAAAAACTTATCCATCATCCTTAGCTCAATCCCTTTCCGGCTCCAACCATCGAAATAATCCCCTACGAAGGTTGAAATGGCAATGGCCCCGATATATTTGAAAAATAGTCTAATGGAGTTCTGGCAGTGGCCAGCTTCTCCACTCAAATCCTGAGCATATGTGGATTTAGCGCTCTTACTCAGTCCCCAGTGGTTTTTAGACAGTGATGCGGCTGGAAGAGAAGTGTTGTGATCTACTTGAGCCCTTCTTTGCTTTTCACGTGAGAGCGGTAAGGCATGGTTCAGAGTTCCCTAGGTTGAATATAAATATTGTATATAGGAATGGATGTGTGACAAGTATTTTTTTTTTCTTTCTTTACTTGACCGTATGTGTTTTTCCCTTTTACAAGTTTTTCTTCTTTTATTTTAATGTATATATTTTTACTTACATGTTTTCTCCTTTTTTTTTTTTCTCAATTTATATTTTAAATTGTATATCCTAGGACTCCATCTGGACAAACGTCTAACTTGGAATCCTCATACCAGACTGAAACGACAAGAAACAGTTCGACGTTTCCGACTACTTCAACACTTACTAGACAAACGCTCTAACCTTCCAATCAATTATAAAAGACTCATTTACATGACTATAATAAGGCCTATTTGGACTTACGGAGTTGAGCTATGGGGCTCCACCAAACCTTCAAATTCCTCTCGCATACAATCCTTACAATTCAAAATCCTTCGTAAAATCCTCAATGCTCCTTACTTTGTTACAAATAAAATTATCCATAATGACCTTAATGTTCGTTATGTATCATATTTGGCCCAATCCAGATATCTGTCCTTCCATAATAAACTTCATAACCATCCCAACCCTCTTGTCTCTAACCTTGCTTCCTATTCGATTCCTGATAACCCTCCAAGGCGTCTGAAAAGAAGATGGCCACGTGATCTTCTAATATAGACATATTATTAGAGTGCTACCAATGGGTAGTATCTCAACATGTGTTCCATGTCTTTATACCAATGTGCGAATTTACCAGATGTATTTTTTGTATACAGTTGTTAATATCATATAAATAAATTAAAAAAAAAAATATATATATATATATAAAATGTATGAATGTAAACATAGAGCCATAATGCTCAACGCCCTAGATCGTGGCAGATTATATTATTTTTCTTCAATAAAAACTCAGACAGAAGATGTTTTATTAAAAAATAATATATCTCCATCATTTTTCGGCAAATATTAATAAAAAAAAACAATTTTTTGAATATTCCTATTACTAAGTACTACAAAAAATATGAGAAATATTATTAATTAGGATTAGGATGATAGAACTAAAATCAAGAAAATTTCACTTTATTGAAGCCAAATAGATCAATTTACAGCTCGTTTATATTTTTTTTATCAAAGGACTTCGATGGAATTTAAAACAAGCATCCTTGTCGATTATATTAGTACTTTTGGAATCCAAGAACGATAGTTTTTGGCTGAGATATGAAGAAAAACATAAAATAACAGAAAGTGATAGGTGGCCACCTTTGACTCTCCATTTTGGATGGAAGCGGACATGGGATTTTAGAAGGCTTTCCATGGTTTGTTGCATGATATCAAATCCTAAATTTACTGGGCTAATATAGTTGGGCTAAAGTATTTGTAAATATAGTATATCTCTTTATAGGGAAGGCAATTAATATAAGTTATATAAGGTAATTAAAAATTTTATTCAATAATTAATAGTTCACTTTAAGCAATAGAAGAAGAAGAACTAGCTACCATAGAAATAAAATGTTAAGAACAAGGTTAAGTTTTATTATTAAGAGGCAATAAAATTTTGTAATATGGAAACTTGTTAGGTATGTCATAAACTTTTGATAGCTTGAAAATCATGCAATTATTTCAAAACTTTGTAATGACATAAATAAAAGGAAAAATATGAAGAGAAATTCATTCGTTTATAATCTATAAATATAAAAATGAATGTATGCCTGTCTGTTTGTCCTTTGTGCATTACTAAAACATTCATTCGATCGCCATGAAACTTTGGGAAGTTGTTCCGTACACTCCTGGGAAGGTTTCTGGCATAGTACTTCTGTCTTACGATAATTTTATATATGTAAAAAAAAATAAAAATGTAAATGTTTTTCTGTTCAAAGCCGCAAAAAAATGTTTCCCAAAACGGCTTTACCGATTTTAACGAAACTTGGCTAAAGTCTTCTCCTTGAAACCCTTTTAATTTATGTGTATAACATACTTTACATAAAACAAGCTGCAAAATGTTACGCTGAATTGAATATTCTATTTGTTGATATTAAAAAAGTACAGGATTTTTGACTGATAATACCCATATTTATATGAAAGATTTCTGAATTGCCGACAAAATAAAAAAAAATCATCGAAATCGGACGGTTCGTTGCAGAGTTATAGAGTTTTAAACATTTACTGCTTTCTCTTCAGAAAAGGCCGTTTCCTTTTGCTTCCTCACTACCGAAGGTAGGCAAGCATTTTTTTTTTTTTATTGATTAATCGAAAATTTTATAATTACTACAGTAATTGAAATTATCATTTGAAGAAGTTATATGATTCTACTTATGTAGGTCAATGCTATTATACGTTTTTTTTATTAATTTTTTTATTTAGTTTTATAAGTTCAACTCAGACTGTTTCTGATGATTATGAATGATAGCGTATTCACTCAGATGATTATTAATGTTAAATTTTAATCATGAGAGAAAAAAAATCATTTGAATTAATTTAAATTGAAGCCATTTGACAGACAAATTTGTTTCCAAACTTTATAAAAATGACAGATGTCCTTTACTATCGATCTACTCATATGTGCTTTCTATTTTCTTTCTTTTTCATTTTGACAGCCCGGGTAAAGCTAGTACCTTATATTAAATTAAATCACATTATTCATTTTCAGCACGGGCCAGAGGAAAAAAATACAATAAAGGGATGGTAAAAACACAATGACAGGCATGGATAGAGTTAATATATGTATATATTTATTCCAAAGCTTACCTGTTGATAATAAATCAGGATTTATATTTTTTGCCTCGACCGAGAGTGGTTCATAGCTAGTGGCAGATGCCTGGATGATATTAAAGATGGTATTAGAGTCATCAGAAGACGTATGATTGATGAAGGAAGAGGATTGAATGGCCTCACCTGGGCGGGAAGTCGCGTGCCACCTGGCTCAGGGCTACACCCCCGTGGCACGTTCCTTTGTCGAGCAACAGTTGGCACTTCCTTAGGGTCGACCAACCGTCTTCTTTTCTCTTGTACCGCCGTCCATTGTCGAGGGTACGTTACAGTTCTTGGATCCGGAGGGGGGCTAAGGCTATTGCGTGTACGACTCTGTCATCATAGCCTCTGTGTATTGTACCATTGTACTCTCAGTGAAAAGAAAATAAGGAGCTTTCTTGAGTACCGAATCATCGCAGCACGCCATGAATCAATCGAACCGTTAGACCGTGATATTTATTTATTTATAACAGATGAGAACTATAGGTGATTATAGAAAAAAACACTGAAAATTATTTAACAATGATTTATCATTGCCAAACAACTATAGATCTAAAGTAACATTACATTCCTAGTTACAAAGAAAAATAAATAAAAGGTGATTCCATTTGTTGGACCGAACATTTTTTTTTAAATCATTAGTAATATGCTAAAAGAAAAGTAGCATTATTTCAGTAACACATTCAAAATTTAAAAACCAAAAAAAGGATATAACATTTGGAGTAGAACATATTAAAAAATCCTGGAGACCATATCTTTGCTCCTAATTGTCCGATTTTAACGATTTTTTTTTTGTTTGTTAGGAAATTTCGTAAACTTTTTAAAAACTATAAAAGAAAAAACATCCCTCGTAACTTTTTTCCAGCTTCTTTGCGTTGAAGTATGATATAGATAAATTTAAAGGATGTCAAGAAAATGACTTTAGCAAAGTTTCATTGAAATCGGTACATTCGTTTAGGAGCTACAGTCTATAGCAACGAAGGTTTTTCGGCCCTCCAGTTGAAATTAAAAGGTAGATAGTACTGCCGATGAAGGAGGATCATCCTCGGGTAACCTCTGATTTTATATCCAAATTTGAAAAAAATCTGTCCAGTAGTTTCGGAGAAAATGCGCGGACGGCGGATGGACAAAAAAAATTGTATTCGTTTTTCGGATTCTACGCATCCTGAAACGTGAAACCTCAAATTTTGAGAGGGGGTTAAGGTTTTGAATTTTTTGATCGATCACAATGGTTGATTATTGAAAACAATAAGCCAATATAGTTAAAATTGAACTGAAAATCTGTCAATCAATTTAATAGTTGAGAGATATACCTGTTTTGATCCCCCCAGTGCTTCCTTATAGTGGCCGATCACTTAACTTCTAAACAAATATTAACTGGGCTTAGGAAGTAAAGAGATACAAACAAAATTTGGGGAAATTTTATCTAATAACAAATAAATTACATTTTAAATAATATTTAATTTATCGATTCACCAGACTACCCTCAATGAATTTACAATTTTTTTAGTCACTTAGGAAAATAAGATTAAATCATGACATATAACATTTACACTTCGACGAGACACGTGCCTGCCAGTTTATGCAGGGTATCTGAGTTCTTAATGGCCACATCTTGGAGGATGATTCTAGAGAAAATTTCCAATGAAAAAGGAGTTGAGACCAATTACGTGTTTTTTATCTAGGTGATCACGGTTTTTATTAAATAAGAAGGAATTGCTGGAAAAATGTTCAAGCTAAATAAATACTAAGTGCGCCATCTTAAAGTAGACACAATTTCATTTGAAAAAAATAGTGATTAAATTAACTAATATCAATGATAAAAGTGACTTTCAGGAGGTCTAATACGGCCTCTGCACTGCTGAAGTTACAGCTTATCTTTGTATTCCCGATTTGTAATGATTCGCCATAATGAAGGGTTTTGCGTTTAAGACGTTTTGAAAATGCGTTTTTTTTTTGTTTTTTTGTTTTTTTTTAACGAACCGGCCAGCAAGGAACACTCGAATATCATTTCCGTTTCTTGTTCACACCCTCAGCCTTCCTCTTACTCCAATACTCTCTCATCCTCCTGGACTGTTCCTCTCGCTCTCCCTTAGTTCACTTTCTCCCTCGTCTCTCCCTCCCACCTACAAGAACCCCATCCCCTTTCAGTTTTTTCCCTAAAAAGCTCTCTATCCAAGCAATCTCTTTATCCATGATTTTTAGCCTGCCTAGTTCCTTTTTTATTTGTTTTACATATCCCCCCATACTTTTATAGCTGCTAACTTTATCAAAAATTTTGGAAACGACTGTTTCCTAATCTTCCAAATTTCTGTATATTTCTTTATTGGATTTTAGCCTGTATCCCTCTTGTGTTACCTTGGGACCGGTAATCCTCCTCAGAATCTTGAGGATTTTCTCTAGGCTCGGAAGGCTGACTGTTTCCCCACCATATAATATTACAGGTCTTGATACTGTACAGTAATGCCTTATTTTTGCATTTGAGGACAAATTTTTCTTGCTGTAAACATTCCTGGTGGCTTAGTTCATTCTTTCCAGTTTGATTATTTTTCCTTCGATTGATTCCTATATTACCTCCCCTAGGTATTTAAACCTTTTCGTTACTTTTATTTTGTGTCAAATATTTTCTTGGCGAAATTGGTATCTTTTGTCATTATTTCTGTTTTTTCATAAGAGATATGTAGTCCCGTTTTCTCGGATATTTCTTTCAGAGTTTACCTGTTTCATGGCTCTTCTTCTGTCTCTGCTGGTAAAGCTAGGTCATCTGTAAAAGCCAGGCATTTTACTTTTACATTGTCCTTCTTTGTTCCTATTACTTCCCCTGCTTCCTTCTTTCGCCAGAATATTGTCATAATTTTGTCCAACACTACGTTAAAAAGTACCGGTGACAGGAAGTCGCCTTGCCTAAATAATAAAATGCCTTTTATTATCTACCTTAATAAATTTAATCACAGTTTTCAGAAAGAAAATGTCTAATTTACTATGTCTATCAGGAGGAGCTGAAAAGAAACTGGATAAGAGATTTCCTGAATCAAGAAAGTACAAGCTGGAAGAGGTGATGTTGGGTGCTATTTTTCCTCATGCCTACAATGCCAATCATTCAATTTTGAAATCAGCTCATCTTAGGCGCTCAAAAGTCCTTTTTAAATGGTTTTAACAATGACCAACTCCAATTTCATTTCAATCATATTTTGTCTTGTTTACTGTGGAGCATTTGTTCTTCTTCTTCTTCAATGGAGACTAGAGTCCTTGTAGAACCTGGGTCTCTGCCACCACTCTCCTCCACTCCTCACGGTCCGCAGAGAGATTCCTTCTGATCCCCAGCCTTCTCAAGTCTTCTTCCAGATCATCCAACCATCGGTGTCTGGTTCAACCTCTTTGTCTTTTTCCTTCTGGAGTACTATTCAGCATCATTTTTGGGAGTCTAGTGAGATCCATTCTTTCAAGATGACCCAGCCGTCTGAGCCTGCCCTTCTTAATGACACTAAGGATGTCTGGCTCTTCATATAACTCCATTAACTCTGTTTTGTTTCTTATTCTCCATATATGACGCTCTCTTACAGCTCCAAAGATCTTAGGATTCTTCTCTCACAAACCAGCAAGGATCTCCTGTTTTCCTTGGTCATAGTCCACGTCTCACTGCTATACAACACGACCGGTCTAATCACCGTTTTATATATTACAATTTTTGCTTTCCTGGACAAACTTTTGTATCGGAGAGTCTATTGAAGAGCATAGAAAGATCTAGTTCATGCAACCATCCTGCCTTTTATTTCTGCTTCCGAATTAGTTTTTTTCGTCACTACTCCGCCCAATTTATCACAGTTGTGAAACATGTCTTCTTCCAAATCGACAGTATCTCCTCTCTCTCTGGTATGTCGGGTTGCTTTCATATACCTCGTCTTTTTCATGCTTATAATGAGTCCTAACTCTTGAGTTGCATGCTTGAACTCTTCTATAGCGCCGGCTAGTACTACTTTAGTTCTTCCTGATATAACAACGTCTTCAGCATATGCCATGTACTGCTGAACCTATTATATATCAGAGGTCGTCTTGATTTTCCGAATCGCAACCTCTTAAGCGAGATTAAATAGTACAGGAGATAACGGGTCCCCCTGTCTTAAGCCACTGTTAACCTCGAAACTATCTGACATATCCACTCTGGTTTTGATCGTACAGCTTGTCCTTTCTATGGTCATTCTGGTCCATCTTATTAGTTTCCTAGGAATCCCACGCAATTGTTAATTACACAATTTTTTTTTAACTTATTTTTTTTTAAATATTACAACCTGTCTCTAGGACATTTATAATAGAGTTCACAGATCACATTCACACTCTATGTACAATAAATAAAATAAATTATACAGAAAAATAATATATATACAATAAATAAGAATAAAATAACCTAAAAATAAATAAATAAAAAGAACACATACACACCCATATACAATATCTACAATTTGGCGAGAGAACTCCAAACCAGACTTGTCCCTCCAACTGTGGAGGGAAAAGTATGACTCCTGGACCCTGCACTCCTCTCCCAACCGCGTCACTATGGCTAAACCCAGTGGAGATTGGGCAAGAGTGCAATTACACAAATTAAATATTATTTTATTTACTGCTTCCTGTACAACAAAAAAAAGTAACTTACTTAAAAAACACATATCTTGAATTTTCTACTTTTCTGTGAAAATCGGGCCATTCTTTATATGAACTTTTTTGTAGCTCTTGAAATCTGCAATCACCGCTATAAATATGTCCCTCCACTTAATGGATAACCCATATATGATTTTTTTTCCGGTGCTTGATTACTCAGTGGTATGCGTTTTCAAAAAAAAAAAAAAAAAAAAAAAAAAAAAAAAAAAAAAAAAAAAAAAAAAAAAAAAAAAAAAAAAAAAAAAAAAAAAAATAAAAAAAAAAAAATAAAAAAAAAAAAAAAAAAAAAAAAAAAATATATATATATATATATATATATATATATATATATATAAACCTACGAAGTTTTAAAAAATCAATACACACAAAAAATAGATCCCTACTGTTGTCTGTCCCAATGACACAAACGCAGCCGGACAGGAAAAGACGGATTTGTCCCGTAGTTTGGACGCAGGCACCTGGGGTGACACACAAAGGTTATACAATAGTTTCTTCAGGTGTCAGTAATCCAATGACTATCACCAATGTGCCACCAGGTGGCACGCCACTATTAGTTGGCATTCCACTGTCCGTCTATAGGTTCAATTTAAAAATAATGGAACAAATAGATAAGAGTGATAAAGGCCCTTAAAATTCTTTTGTTTACATATAATTATATTATTTAATTTATTTATTTATTAGCAGTTCTTAGTAGAGAAGAAATGGGGGAGCTGGCGCACCAAAAAGAGCAGCCAATCAGAAGCCAGGATTTCAGTGACGTCATCATGGCGGGAAGTTTGAATTTGAATTTGAACAACGGCACGCTGCCTTTTAGGGCCTCTAACCAGCCTTAACCACCACGTGGTCAGTCACGTGACCACCAGTCACGCCCCTTTTCGATCCTGTGACCCTCATATTTTCTCCCCACCCCTCTCTCTAAGAGGCTAAGTGTACCCGACCGCCATCTTCTTTTCATGTACTTACGAGGTTTGCATCTCCTATGACGTCACGAGATCCCCTTTTCGATCCTGTGACCCTCACATTTTCCCCCCACCCCTCCCTCAAAGAGGCTGAGTGTGCCCGACCGCCATTTTCTTTTCATGTAATTACGAGGTTTGCATCTCCTATGACGTCACGAGGTCCCCTTTCGATCCTGTGACCCTCACATTTTCCCCCCCTCCCCCCCACTCCTTTCTAAGATGATAAGCCCGGCCGCCATTTTGTTTTTTTGTAATCTTCCTAATGTTTATGTTATATATAATCTTCCTAATGTTTATCTTTTACATAACCTTCTCAATGTTTACCTTTTCAGAGTCACGTGACTTGCGATTTGAGAGCCGGGAGAGGGACTTTGTCGGCCATTTTGTTTTTCTATAACTTCTCTAATGATTATTTTTTATATAACCTTCTCATTGTTTACCTTTTCAGAGTCACGTGATCGGTCACGTGACCAGCGATTTGAGAGACGGTTGTACTTTGTCCGCCATTTTGTTTTTCTATAACTTACCTATTGTTTACCTTTTTCATATTGGCAAATCTGGCGCTTCCCCCTCTATCCCAACCGTTATAACCAGCATAACCTTACAGTAACCTTCCTAATTTTTTATTATGGTAATGGGTTCTACATGGAATTCTACGGACCCCCCTAGAGCCCTTCGGGTCCTTGTGCTCTAAAATCAACCGTTTTTGAGATATTCGACATTTTATGTTTTTATTGTTTTTCAAAATAATATATTTCTTTTTTTTTATTATTCATTATTCTATGTAAACCGGATCATATATATTTGGGACGAATCTCGCGTTCCTCTCTCCTCCCAACTATTATAACCTCACAGTAACCTCCCTAATTTTTTTATTATGATAATAGGTTCTACATGGAATTCTACGGACCCCCCTAGAGCCTTTCGGGGGATAGGGCCGAGGCCCTTTTTGCTCTAAAATCAACCGTTTTTGAGATATTCGACATTTTATGTTTTTTTTATTATTTTATAAAATTATAGCTTACTAAATATATATATTAAACCTTTGCTTATCAATCATTATTGAATGGAAATTGTGCTGAGCTCTTAATGTATTAAAAGCAGATACAAATGCCAGGTTTGTACGGAGTATATGCACTGGTCAGTTAGTTCATCATTATTCCAGTTCTTATTTTGGCTGGATATCTACAAAATTTACAAGAAAAAAAATACCAATATATCAAACAAAAATTACACGAGTTACAGGCATTTTCCTGAAACATGCTGAAAATAAAGAACAAAACAAAAAAAAAAACTTTGAGGCTCAAAAATTGCTAACAGCTATTTTTTTTTTTAAATTTAATTCTCGTATAAATATAAATAATTTGGAATCCTCATACCAGACTAAAACGACAAGAAACAGCTCGACGTTTGTGACTACTTTAGCACTTACTAGACAAATTTCTAACCTTTCAATTAATTTCAAAAGACTCATATACATGACTATAATAAGGCCTATTTGGACTTGCGGAGTTGACCTATGGGGCTCCACCAAACCTTCAAATTCCTCTCGTATCCAATCCTTACAATCCAAAATCCTTAATCTTCCTTACTTTCTAACAAATAAAGTAATCCAAGTTTCTGATTTGGCCCAATCCAGATACCTAACCTTCAGAACCATCCTAATCCTCTCGTTTCTAACCACCTTGCTTCTTCCTCGATCTCTGATAATCTTCCTAGGCGTCTGAAAAGAAGATGACCCCGTGATCACCTAATTTCGAAATTTTATTAGACTGCTACCAATGGATAGATTCTCTACAAACCTTGCCATGTCATGTATTAATCTGTATCACACTTGCTGAATGTATATTAAATGTACAGTTGTAAATTTTATAATTAATAATAATAAAATAAAAAAGAATAAATATAGAATAACCGGCAAAAAATTATAAAAATGTCCAGCAACGAAATAAATTGGGTGATTTTTAATGGATTTATCCCATATTTTATCAATACATAGTCACAGATATACATCATGAAGTCATTGTGAAAATTAAATCTTCCTCTATGTCTCTCTAAACATCAATTATACTTAACGGATAGACGTGAAATATAATTTTGAAGGCTTCAACACGCGAAGGTAGATAAAAACAAACGGATTAATTGAGTGAGGTGACCATGTAGGCGTGCGGCATATGTCCTCATTTGTTCTGCCAGCTCGCCACATGTTATAAAGGCACGTGGCGTTCCGGGTCACTCAAGTGTAGAGTCTTCTTCTGCGTTTTAGCACTTCTGGTAGCTTCTTTATACCTTATTATATAATTATAAATTATATTTTGGTTTATTATTTTGAATCAACGCTCTACAATTCGGAAACGAGGCCGCTCGAGAAATCACAGGTAATTTGATATCGAATATATGTGAAGAAAATTAACCGAACAGTATGAACAATGGGTTCTGAATAATTATTATTATAAAAAAAAATATATATCGATAGAGAACGATGAGTTGAGTGACCCAGTTTTGACAGACTTTTGTAGGGTATACCAATTTCGCTACCTTGGTTCAATACTTGAAAGCAATTAGTATGCTAAATTCAGTTCTCTAGAGAGAGAATAATTATAATAAAGTAAAAAAAAAATATATAAGCCCCTGGTAGAGCTAATGCTCTATGATTCGGAAACGTGGCCGCTCGAGAAATCACACAGCAAAATATTCCTAGTTGTGGAAATGGATTTTTGGAGATCAGCTAGAGTCTCAAGGACGCAAAGAATCAGAAATGAGACCATTAGAGAAAGGATGGAAGCTAAGAATAATATACTAGAAATAATGGAAAAAAGATCACAGTGGTATGGGCATATGAAAAGGATGAATAGCGAACGATTTCCCAAAGGAGAGGAAGAAGAAGGCGTTGGACAGGAAGAAGTGGAAGAATTGACTGAGGGAGGAGTTTGGTTGATGAAAACTTCAATTTATGAAGAAAAACCCTTAAATAACAAAACAAATATTAATCATTGCAATCGGCCGAAAAAATCAAAAGTTAACCTCCTCAAAATTTAAGGTTTTCATTTCACGATACGTAAAACCAAAAAATTCAATATTTTTTTTTTGTTCATTGTCTGCGGCTTTTCTCAGAGACTACTATGCCGAGTTCCATAAAATTTTAAATCAAAGACAAAGGTCACCCGAGGATGATCCAACACGACATTATCATCCGCCCTTTCCTTTCAAAATGGCGGGGTGGACAACCTTTGTTAATATATGCTGTAGCGCCTAAACCGATGCAAAGATTTTAATGAAACTTGGCTCAAGTATTCCTCTCAAACCGCTTTAAATTTATGTATAAAACATACTTCCCCAAAAAGAAGCTTGAACAAAATATAAGAGGTATGGAAAAATTAGATTTCGGAAAAACTCAAAAAGTATATAGAATATTTTTGGTAGTGCTTGTTTGATAGTTTATGAAATTTTTTTTAAAAACAAAAAAGAATTTAACCATTTTTCATATTTGAAATTAATGTGAAATGGTCAATTGTTCCAAATAAAGGTACTTTAGAGGAAGCTAATATTGAAAGTTAGCCAATCAAACCCTGTTAGAGAACATCAATCAGAATGATAACCACATTTTATTTTAAACTGCTTAATTTTACACAGATATGATGAATTTAATCAAAATCGTTAGAGCCGTTTCAAAGAAAATTGTAAAAATGTTTTTAGTGCAATATATAAAGTGCCACTACCGGTTAGCCGATTTTGACGAAATAGTTGCTGTAACATCCCTAGGATATAAAAGCCTTAAATTTTTAATTTCATTTCCGTACGACTTTTCGTTTTTGAGCTAGACTCTTAACACACATACACACATAGACCATTTTGCGGGACTTGTTTATTTGAACTCTTGAGGACCTCAAAACGCGTATATCCGTTGAAAACTCAGATTCAAAAATTTTCACGAAAGCAATACTTTTACCCTTACTATATATTACATATATACGTAAGTGAAAGTAAAAATAAATGGAAACAACAATCAATATAAATAAAAAAGAAATTTAAACTAATCGAAATAAGAACTTATATATATATATATATATATATATATATATATATATATATATATATATATATATATATATATATATATATATATATGGGGCTGGGGTAGCCTTGCGGGCTAGTGCGCTTGCGATAGATAATAAACAAGATCCTAAACTGAAGTAAATAGATAGATAGTACATCAGTTTAGGATCTTGTTATTTAGGTTACTCTGTTTATATTTTAATGTACTTACTGTTTATAATTTTAATAAGCTTATTCACATTGTTTATAATTTTTTGTCTAAATATCATGAAACTTCCACAATTCTCTATATCTTTTTATTTTTATCTCTATAAATATTATTTTTTATTAGATAAAAATTTAGTATGAAAGTCATTTTCTTTCGCTTGTTTTGTTAATATAATGTATATCTAAAGAAAAACATTCTCTAACATCAATCAAGACCTTAGCAGAAAGGTTCCTCCTACCTTCAACTGCCAATATAGATTTTTCATCAAGTGCAGAAAAGAAGGTGGCTTCCAACAAACAACAAACGGTTTTAATAAAGATGCTCGTAAACAATCGGAAGCAATCTAAGTTGGAGCCTTGTTCCTTACAAACTGGGCCCTGTGTTGTAAGTACCTTGTCTCTTCTGATTTAGGGGGCGTTTGCAAAGCTAGGGCGTTCTTGTTCTCAGTGAATGCTTTTATTGGATTTGAGCCAATACTATTCAAAATTAAAAAAAAAAAGTTACTAGATAAAAATATAAGAGAACTTGGCTGAGAATTGTAGTTATTAGAAATACACAATAAAAATATAACAAAAGCTCTCTTAACTATTTTATTCGAACAAAAATTTATTTTATTGTACCATTATTTTCAACAAGAAGTACATTTTTTATAGCGATATTTTAAGAACTTTTTCCTACCGAATGATGCACCATTTTTTCTTTCACTTACATATATATGAAATATATAGTAAAGGAAAGTATTGCGATCGTGAAAATTTTTGTATCTCTGTTTTCAACGAACGTTTTGAGGTTCTCTGAGCCCAAATAACGAAGTCCCGCAAAATGGTTTGTGTGTATGTTAACAGTCTAGTTCAAAAACGAAAGGACGTACGAAAGTGAAATTGCTTATTTAAGGTTTTTATATGCTAGGGATGTTACGTAACTTTTTCGTCAAAATTTACTGACTGGAAGTGACACTCTAAAGCAAGGGCTAAACACGTTTTTACAATTTTTTCGGAAACGGCTCTAACGATTTTGATTAAATTCATTATATAAGTGTAAAGTTAAGCAGTTTTAAATAAGATATAATTTTTATTCTGATTGATGTTCTCTAACAGGGCTTGAATGGCTAATTTTCAATATTAGCTTCTTCTAAAGTACCTTATTTTTTTATTTGGAATAATTGACTATTTGACATTAATATCTAATATGAAAGATAGTTAAATATAAAATATGAAAGAATTTTATAGTTAACTAAATGAGAAATAAAAAATAATAACGGAGAATAATTGTAATTCATCGCACCCGAGCTCGCCCGAAAGATTATAACAGGCTTTCCATACCTAACATGAGATTAATATAATAAGGATTCCGACTATTGTTATTTTTATAAGTACCCTATATATACAAATTTTAATATTTATATCGGTTTAATCTATACAATTAAATATTAAATAATACCAAAAATTGCATTTATGAAAACCGCATATTTATATAATATTTTTTGGTATTATTTAATATTTAATTGTATAGATTAAACCGATATAAATATTAAAATTTGTATACATAGGGTACTCATACAAATAAAAATACCCACAATGAAATATAAATAATTATAGCGTCTATAATTTTTACTTTCATTTCTCCTTTGAAGAGGGATATTTCTGCTACGAAGAGTTAAGTGAAAGTAGTGTGATGCGGGCACCGCAACAGATTTTTTATGTTCATAACGAACCCATCCAAGCTTTTTTGTTCAAAAAATTAACAAAAAATGATTGCATACAGGTTTAATTCTTTCCATAAGGGAACTATTCAGGTTTCAACATTTTTTAATTGCTAATGAAATAATCAATAATTTTTTTAATTCTACAAGCAAATTATTTCTTAATTATCTTTAAAAAATTGGTTTGGGTATTTTAATTAAAATATAATAATACTTCATAGCCTTTATAGCTATTTGCAACAGCAATATGAAACGGAATGAAAAATAATTATATTCTGGGACTAAAGTCTCCTTAGAATAACAGCTGAATTTCAAAAAAATATGTTCATCAGCCTGGTTTGTTTATAATACAAATATATACATAGAATTCTGAAGGTGATACAAATTCAGAACGCAGTCTTTTAAAAAAAAAAGTTTTAATTTTTTTTTATAATGCCAACGTTCCAACCCAAACATGTGGGCTATCTTCAAGGCTGAAAAATTTAAAATACAATCAGAGATCTAATATTATACTACCGATAATGGTAAATAATAAACTATAGTGATTTGATAATACATTAATCTTAACTATTATTACAACACACAATATTAAAATTGAAATATGTAAAACGTTATACTAACTAAAAATAATATATATAATCTATTTATTAAAATTTGTGATATTTTCTCTTACTAAACATGGTTCGAGCACTGAAGGCTTTCAAGTACTGATACATTTGGTAGGTAAGTGAAAAGGTTGGGGGAGGATTTCCCAGTTGTCCTTTTTCAGATAGCAAAAGGTAGGCAAACATAGTCAGTCCTTTCCACTTATCTATTAATTTTTTTTTAAAAGACCGTGGCGTGAATATTTATCACTAGTGATGCCCAAATGCGAGACCCAGACGAGTCTTGGTCTTGCAAACTCAGTTTGGTCATGGTCTTGGTCTTGCACAACAGTCTTACAGTACTGTATTTTGTAGATAGGAGAAACCTAACTAAGCCTGAATGAAAAATTAGAGGAATTAAATGCAAAACTATATTGGTTATACCAATTATTTACATATAGTAACTAAGATTGTCGAGTATTAGCAACTATTTTGTCTTAATTTTTTATTAAAAACATCGATTTTTTTTTACCAGTCCTGGTCTTGGACTTGCAACAGTCAGGCGGTCTTGGTCTTTTGGGCAACACTATTTATCACCCATGATATGTAGAACAGTCGACTACCTTCCTTCAATAATAGAATTCTAAGAAAAATACAATTATATAAAAAAATTCTGAAAGAAAAATAAAAGTAAAGTGGAAATTAACTTTTGGCAAGCAATTATAATTACGTAAAATAAAATATCTTACAATCTTGCGGAAGTTTGAATATGCAGTAGGTGGAGGAACAAGTGTTGTTTGAAGGAATTTTTGGAGATAGGTAAGGAGTTCCAAAGGAGGTAACACGAATGACGAAGGATTTGCTGAAGAAAGTGGTTTTATGTGAGGCGATATATAAATCTATAGGTTGAGATCTCGTATTAAGGGAGTGCATAAAGGAACGTAGTGTAAGGAGTTCTAGGATGAAGGGAGGGCTTTTGGTTTTAAGGACTTGGAAAAAGAAAATACCAAGAAGGAATCGCCGTCGAAAATATATTCACCAAATGCTGATTCTGTTGCATTTTGGTACTTGTTCACAAAAATTCTTTAGGTGTAAATACAGAATATTACTAGTGACAGTACCATATCTTGTGGAAATTCACACGTCATATTTATGGGATAAGACATTCGGCCGGAAAATTTTTGTTGTAAAATATTAATAATTAAAATAAAATGAAAGATTTAATAATTTATCCGCGAATAGTGAAAAACATAATTCACGAATGTAAAATTATTTCTTGGAGTGCTACCAATGGATAATTCCTCTTCATGCTGTTTATGCCATGTCACTTGTTGATCAAAACTATAAGGTGTCAAAACCACGGATGTTGAAGGATTAGGGTAAGCGCACCATTAATGGACATAACTAGGAAATTTTGATCTTTTTTTGGTTTATACCGTCCTAATTATTATAGCTACAAAATTCTACGTTGTTCATCTAGGATTTCTAGGGTCTCCATTTTCTATTTAACACTTTAAAATTGAAAAAAAATATTAAGTTATGCAGGTATAATCTCCATTAAAAAAAAAAGAAAACACCTTTTTGTACTAGTGATGGACATTTCGAATTTCAATTGTTCTAGTAATGGGCAGGAGGTCGGTACCAGTAATGGACATACCTCAGAAAAATTCTAAAATCTTTATTTAACTATAAAGATAAGATAACATAAATGTTCAACTTATTCTTAACAAAACTGTTAGTTGGACGGTATAAAACATACTGATCTCAAGAGCACTATTAAACAACAATGATGGACATTTCAAAATTTTCTTTTGGGAACTTTCTTCTTACAGTTGTCAATAGAGGGCATTGTTCTTCAATCTTGAAAAAACTGGAACCTTTAAATCAACAAGGAAGCATATTATTTACATTTAAAGCCCAACCTGTCCATTACCGGTGCGTTAAACCTACTGCACTCTGCTAAAATTTACTAATAAAATTCTATATATGTGAATGAAAAGGATTTTCAAGTTTTTAAGGATTGTTTGAGATGATATAGATTTTAATGAGCGAAACTTTGATACCGCTGAATTAATTATCTAGATTACAAAACGCTGCAATATAAAGTTTTTTCCGAACAAAAGAAAGTTCATGAAGTTAGATCCTGAAAGTCAAGAGCCAGATCCACGAAACTTAAAACAATTCCCATCTGATGAGATCGCGACCGAAGTATCAAAGCGAAACTCAACTGTAGTTTAGAAAATAAACTCACGGCGATACAAACCCTTCTTGTTTCCCTTACCGGCCATTTTCTACTTTCCCGGTCTAACCCTTTTTTCGAGGAAAATTCCAGTTTATATATTTTTTTTCATTTCTTCCAGAGGATTCCACAGGCTCCATTGACTTCGGAGCTGACAATGCTTCGAAGATTCGATGTATTGGCAATTATCCAGATAAGGAGTTCCCTGAATATTTCCTCCGGAATAAGGATTCGTTCGAGGAAGTACTGGGGATCTCTGGATGGGTGCCAAAGGAACATTGGGCGAGAGAAGTGACAATGAACATTCTTCAGACGGGGTTAATGGATTAAGGAATAGGAGGGAAAATATATAAGAAGAAAACAAAGCTAATGAAGATTGACAATATTTTTATATAAATGAGATGGAAGTGAAATAAATGGAGGGGTAATATATAAAAAACAATGCATTTCGCAAAGACAAAAAGTATCTATATTACTTAATTAAAAAAAAAAAAGGACATTGAACGAAAAGTATATGAAACAAATATAAAAATTTATTATGTATAATTAAATTTTACAGATCATGGGTGATAAATATTCAGGAGGCAGTCATTATAAACAATTTTTATTCGTGCCAACGTAGAGTACTAGAAAGCCTTCAGTGCTCGAACCACGCCCTGATGATGACCCACATGTTTGGGTTGAAACGTTGGCACAAATTTAAAAATTTTTATCCTGAATATTTATCATCCATGATATGTAGAACAGTTGACTAGCTTCCTTCAATAATTCATTTAATTTTACAGACAGATACAGTCCACTACATTTTTGTGTTATTTCACTGAGAAATGGCATGAGGCTCACAAAGCACGAATAAATTGAAACTAAGCTAGAAATTGATAACAAACACCTATTCACTAAAACCTTTTTGGACTTGCGCATTACAGATATTGCTGAGATTACAGATGGAACTCCTAAAAATATTCACCCCCAAGTTCCAGAATCAAAAATCCTGCCTACATCCCAGAACTCCTTAGTCAAAGTGTCTCTATCAACTAGCTATATACTCAATCTAGATCTCAACCTATAGATCTATAATAATGTAGAGATGGTTGACCGTGATATAATGTGAGAAAGAGTTGATCGGGGGGAGGGGGGGGGGAAGGGGTGCGGTCAAATAAATACTAAATCATACAAATAGTATTATTTAATTTTTTCCGACAATTCGACCCACTTTGCAGGTCTTCATCAGGGCGTAGGATGTAGCACTGCGGGAGGCAGTTGAAACACTGGAGTGTGTTTGGCCGAAACGTCAGCAAAAAAATTAAATAATACTATTTGTATAATTTAGTATTTATTTAAACGCACCCCCCGATCAACTCCTTCTCCTGTAGATCTATATATATCCCCTCCCAAAAATCCACTTTCTTCATTCTTCCCATCTCCTTTTGGAACTTCTTAGCTATTTCCATACGTCAATTCTGGTCCACAAAACCCATCGAACAATTCTCTATACATCACCTATTTTATACTCAATCTTCCATATCCATGTAGGATGAACTGCTCATTACCAATTAATCTAAAAGTCCTATTTTATGTTATTTTTTGTGTTTGGTATTTTTATATACATGTAAAATTTACTTCTTTCTGTATATTGTATAATTAAATTAACTGTGTAACTATAATTGCAATTAACACTTAATTGACCAGACAAAATTATATTTTCATTTCATTAACTAACTTCAAATCTATCAAGTAAAAATATTCAGAATAAGCACAAAAGTACCTAGGTACGTTAGCAGTATAACCTTACACACTGACCTTCATGTCGATTGTTTACAAACACATGGGATTGCATCACAAATTACAAGGACACCCTAAGATAGTTCTAAACAATATAATCTACAACACACACGCCTAGTAACGTTCGTAGAAGATAGAAGAAGAGCTGGATTAGGGATCTCCTCGTTTAATAATTAATACATGTATTATTTGGATTTGTTTTTTTATTTTTGTTTATTATTATTTATATAATATTTACAACTGTATAAAAAAAAATACATCTTGTAAATTCGTACATGGATATAATGACATGAAACAAATGTTGAGAAACTAACCATTAGTAGTACTCTAATAATATGTCTATATTAGGAGATCATGGGGCCATCTTCATTTGGGACGCTTCGGAGGGTTATGAGGAATTGAATAGGAAGCAAGGTTAGAAACAAGAGGGTTGGGATGGTTATGAAGTTTATTATGGAAGGATAGATAACTGGACTGGGCCAAATCTGATACACAAGGAACATTAAGGTCATTGTGAATGATTTTATTTGTAAAAAAGTAAGGAGCAGTGAGGATTTTACGAAGGATTTTGGATTGTAAGGATTGGTTACGAGAGGAATTCGATGGTTTAGTAGAGCCCTAAAGCTCGATTACGTGTGTCCAAATAGGCCTTAGTAAAGTCATATATATGTCTTTTGAAAGTAATTGGAAATTTATAGGATTTGTTTAGTAAGTGTTGGAGTAGTCGAAAACGTCGAGCTGTTTCTTCTCGTTTCAGTCTGGTATGAGGATTCCAAGTGAGTCGTTTGTCCAGGTGAAGTCCTAGATATCGGATTTGTTCAACGGGGATAAGTGGGGTATTGTTAAAGGATGCTGAAGGACAGGAGGTCATATGATTGCGACGAAGGGTAAAAGTAATTTGATGAGATTTATTGGAGTTTAATTTAATACTCCAGTTTTGACACCATTCTTCAAGATTTGTGATGTGTGATTGGAGAGTTTGGGATGCAATTGATGGATCGTTGTTAACTGATAGGATACACGTGTCATCGGCATCTCATTAAAATTAATCTACTAGTTCCATTTTATGTTTGGTATTCTTATATGCTTGTAAAATTTACTTATTTCTGTATATCGTATAACTAAATTAACTGTGTAATTACAGTTGAAATTAACACTTAATTGACCAGGCAAAATTATATTTTCATTTTATTCAAGTAACTTTAAATCTATCAAGCAAAAATATTCAGAATAATCACAAAGTACCTAGGTACGTTAGCAGTGTAACCTTACACATTGACTTTCACATTACGATTGTTAACAAACTCATTATATGATTCTATAACAAATTACATGGACACCCTAACACACTCATAAATGATATGAGCACACTACAAGTAATGTAAATATCAGGCCAGGAGAAGGTACCGCTGGGTACTGATGTCCAATTTCAATTTAATTTGATTTATTAAATTTACATTGAAATTATATCATTAATAAGGAAGTATTATGCAACTATCATTCTTTATATTAGCTCAGTATTGAGTACATCGATGGCATCGGAAAATATTGTGTTCGTTTATCATAGAGTTTGGTAAATTATAAGTTAGAATAAATAAATCCTAATATATGCTTAATCACATTTGAACTGATATGATAAATTTATTCTATGTAAAGCTACAAATGAAAAATATATTATATTTAATAGAATAGTAAACGCGCAAAATATGACAAGGTTAAAACTTTCATAAATGGAGTAAAGACCCTGAAATATGGTAGAGCCCGTTGATACGTGATATCCTTAAGTAACTCAGAGGCCAGTTATCACTGACGAAAAAACAAGAACCCGTCCACAATGGGTGGCCCGGGAATATGGAGGAAAAAAATTGTAGATTTCAAAAGGAAAAAAAAAAAAAAAATACAAAAAGATGAGATGAAGCCATAGTGAATAGAGGCATTTTCAAATTAAACTAGACCAAAACACCGTGAAACGAAAATTTCAAGGATAGCTATATGTTTTTTTATTTACGAAAAAAATCGTATGTTAAATGGAGTGTCAACATAATATTACAACAACGATATTGGTCATAATATAAAGTTCAAAAGAACGTTGTTTAAAATTTTTAAATTAAGATAACTCATAGCACAAGGTATCTCATCATTATTGTAATAAAATATATAAAGTATAAAAAATATAAAAAAAAACATAATAGTATAAAAATAAACAGTCTTTTCCAAAGTTCAATTGTATTCACCATGACAAACACCCAATAATTGGTCTAAAGGCATGATGCTGCTATGGATACCATAAAACTTAAATCATTATAACATGAATTAAGAACCTGACAATGAAGCACATTAGATTTAAGGTAATTAGAAATTTAATGTAACAACCCAATTCTGACATGTATTGTAACATGCACTATATTTTAACTCAATTTTTCAGCCATGCATCAACAAAAATACATTGAGATTGTAGTTCTGAAGATGGGAGTAAATATCCCGAAACGTTAAGATGTAATTTGGAAATACAACAAATAAATTGAATTGTTGTTTAATCAGAAGTCATCATTGCCAAATAACAAAGAATAACATACAACTTCCCAGAAAAAAGTACAACAAAGATATTGGTCATACGAATTTTATTTAAAATTTTCAAATTAAGATAAGTATTAAAAACTAAAACTCATAGCACAAGGCATCTAATCATTATTATAATAAAATACATAATAGTCATGGACACAAAAAATAATAATGAATCATTATGTATTGTAAAAAAAAAACTAAGATATGTGCTTTAGACGACGCGATAGAATTGAAATCATCTACAGGACGAGATCAATAATATGAAATATAAATTATAAATAATAACTCATTACAAAGAGGATGAAATGCTGAACATTTTCCTCGCTTACAATATGCAGGTCCGATCTTTAGTTTTTGAGATATTCTTATCCATATCTTCAATAAAAGTCATTATCATTTGGTTTCCGTCACTATTTTTTCACTTTTCGGCTCTCTAAAATGGCGTCACGTTAAGATAAAATTTTGAATAATAGCTCATTACAAAGAGAATGAAATAGCTAATATTTCCCTTGTAATATGCAGTCCTGAGTTTTAGTTTTTGAGTTATTTTAATTCGTATGAAAAAATTAGTCGTCTCCAGTCGACTTTACCCGAGCGTCACACATCGGAGATCTGACGGCTCAATATAATTCACTCTCTACAAAAAAAGTGCAAAATGAGCCTAAAGAAGTTTCCATATTAAAAAAAATAATAAAAAAAACACTTCTTTGGACTGGTGAACAGGTTAGCATAATAAAAGTTCCCACTCATAGGTGTTGAGCAAGATGTGAGGAGAGAGATGGGGAGTGCCTAAAAGTTCACTTTTTTCGGGTTTTCGCTTATATCAGAAAAATTATCCATCCTATCGAAAAAAAAAAAAGTCCAAACCAGTTAAGTTAAAAATTGTGTTCCCACCATTTCCTTCTATACTCCCCTTTAGAACATTCGTTGACTTGCCTATTAGTAGTT